TGAGTTAAATTGAGTAGTAAATGACGTTGTACGAATCTCGCACTACAATCGTAGTGGAATTTTATTTAAAAACACCTCAATTAAATTTGTTGAAAATTGTCCCCCCTCATAACAAATTTTTCGACACACCATCGGTACCATATCCAAGTCGGCAACTGTAAACAAAAACAAACGGTAATGTACGGTAAAACACGGTGTTATTAATTTTCATCTTAACAATGTTCATTATACGGCAATAACACGCGTGAATTATGACACGAAGGGGAAATGCGCACCCTTTCTCCGACAACGGTGCGTAGGAGTTCAGTCGTTTTCGACAGACTGCAGAGCAATTCTTCCTGAGACCCCACTTCCGCGAATAATCGTTGTGACGCGCGTGCAGAGGGTACAATACATGATTTTTATCCTCTCATTCATAACGCACTTATATTATATATCGATGAATATACGAGTATATTTATATATTTATATACATAATACGAAGAAATACTATATTTATCGTCTTCTCTACAACATGTCATGAAATTTAGCCGTTGTGTACACACGTGTATACATACGTAAATATTCTTATACGCGAAGCACCTATTTTAATATTGAAATATATTGTCGAAACGTCGAACGAAAATCTGTTTATCGGGAAAAAAATAGAGGATTACAATATTCCATTCTATTCTCGTTTCCCGATCCCCAGACACGGCGAATTACTTACGAGGAAAAAACTTGTAGGTACATATGACATATATATAGCTAGAGTACGCGCGGTATCCGTATATTTACATAATACGAATTATTAAATAATGCCATAAAATATTGGAAATATCGTGATTTTGTGGCACACGTGAATAAACGTCGTCGTCGCGCAGGCGAATTTGGGACGGATATAACAAAATACGTAATGTATCGTCTGGTTGGAAGTGTGAGTAATTGTTAGTTGTTAGTAATTGAAAAAAAATAAATAAATAATTATGAAAAAAACTGTCTCGCGAAAATGCAATAATATTAGTGGCGTAACTTTAACATTTAGGCCTGGGAACTATGTTTCCAACAGACCTCCTTCATCCAGTTTCGAGGGAGTATATTCACCTTACTAAAACTATTCAAACAGTTTTTTAAATGTTATTTTACTTTTTATTAAATACACATTTTATAGTTGTATAATAATTTAATAAATAATAAATATTTATTATTAATTTAATACCTCATATTATATACTCGAACATAAAAAAGTATTAGTAAATAATTATAGTTGTAACAAATTAAAATTTAAATAAAATACAAAACATTTTTTTGGACTTCTGATTTGCTAAAGTAGAAATAATATCCAACGTATTGATTTCTTTGGCAATTTTCTTTTCTATTGATATTATAACTAAACCTAGTAAACGAATTTTTTAAAATCGTACTTCAAAGATAGTTTTTAATTATTTTAAGTTTTGAAAAACTTCTTTCTGCATTTGCCATCGTCACTGGTTTGCCGAGAAAAGAAAACTTACTATTTAATTATTGTAAAACGGTTTATTCTAATGATAAAATGTAATAAATATTTGTCATAACCAGGGCTCGGGACTTATAGCATTTAAAATCATTAAAATAAGTGCTTAAAAATATAACTATAAGCACTAAAATAAGCATTTCAAAAAATTTAAAATTAAGCAAAAATATTTATTAAAAAAAAAAAAAAACTATAAAATTCTAACAAAAAATCAAACAAAATAAAAATAAATCTTCACTTTCAAGCATTTAAGGATTTTATAGATTTTCTAATGGATTTTTCTGAAAAATTAAATGTAAACTGTTCTTTCTGTTCTTGATTATTCTGACACGTTTGAAACTCAGTTCTATTTTCATCGTTGGAACATATTTGCTCCGATGAACTGAATGACAAATTAGTTAAGATAAGAATTCTTTGCAAGAGAAATCAATAAAAACGTAAAAAAAACTGGTCGAATAAAGAAAAATAATCAGAAAAATTGAAAATAAGCATTTTTTGGAAAAATTTGTGTAAAAAGCAAAAAAAACACTTTTAAATTTCATAATTGTACCTGTTATAACTTGACATAGACTTCTGTAGCACTCTGCTACATTTTAAGTCAAACGTTAAAATAAGCAAATGCTTTTAGTACCGAGCCCTGGTCATAACCGACTTTGAGTTATCTATACTCAACTATTTTTACATTTGATTTATCCCAACAGATGTTGCGTTGAGCATATAGGAATTTCCTAGGGACAGGAAAATAATTGTATTACTTAGGGCCACTATGTGAACGGGCCCGGTTGCAACCGTACACTTTTAGTTACGTCACTGAATAATATGATTTTAAAATATTATTTAAGAAAAAAGTTATCGGTCTAAACAACTGTACGTCGGCTTAATAAATCATGATACGAACATACATGATGAATCGGTATAACAAATAATCTCACGAACGATTTAATTTAAATACTAAACTATTACACAAACATGTAATAACATTTTTTTTCCCCGCTAACTAGTATCGTATACTTTTGCTATACTATACAGTGTTAGAACCGTATCAGAACTTTCGTTCAGCCATCAACGATCTACAACTTTGATTTTCGCTATGTACCGTCCAAGACATCTTGATCTCTTATTTCAGTGAACTAAAATGACGTATTGACTTTCGCAATACGCACTAATGTGCGAGTGCCGTAAGGTACGGTGCCCATTGCGCGACCGATCGTAGCTACTCGGTTCTAAATTTCGTCAGTAGTACGCCGATGTCTGTTGAAGAGTGACGTACAACGCTACCAACATGTCTGATAATGAGTTGCATGGGTTTTAAATAATAATAAACTAATTTTAAACGTACCAGAAGATGAATCGGAAGAGAATGAACTATTATTTTCATATTTTATGCCTAAAAAAAAGGAAACCAATTGATTCCTTATTTTAAAACCAAAAATTTCTTTCCATTTTGCATATTTGATTAATACATTTTTATACTGCATGTGTGAAATGTCATATAACTCCGGATATTTACGCACGGATTCGATAAAATGTTCATCTTCTTGTGGTGAAAATACTATTGCCGACACATTGATGCGAGCGACCGATCGTGTTACACTGCTCTCGTTGCGGTATTGTCACGCGTGGCGACGACAAATTATCAGTCAGTGCATTGCAGTCGCGGGTAGGACACCAGTTAATGGGAAAGACAAATAAACGGTAGAGCACGACCTGTAGTGAAGTGGGAAACGACGAAAACAAAACGAATTTACACTATGTGACGCGTACTCGATATAAATCGAATTACCGTCGACGTTATTTGGCTAAACGTCCGACCGACCGAGGCCGCTCTACCGTCGAGCGAACCGCGACATTTTTATTTAACCACCATCGCGATTTGCTTTCCCTCCGATTTGTTTCGATCCCCACGTAAACCGTACACGACGACACGTGCTGCCCGCCGCAAGAAGCAATATTTTGCTCTTTTCGCGTACGTGCTCGGTCGATTATCGGTGTACAATGATTCAACGTTTCAAATATTGTTTTATGTTCCGATGCCCAGGCGTGGAATTTTTTTAATATTTTTTGTTTTTTTGCAACACGACCCCATACTCGCACACGTTATCGCCCTAAAGGTTAGGTCGGGTCGGGATGGGTTACCCGAGGGAACCTGCTGCAACGTACTTAACTCGCCTGGTAAATTTACGTCCGTGCAACACGCTCGTAGATCGCACTAAGACCATTATCACGTAATTATAACGCAAGGGCGTATTTGAGTTTTGGCCATGAGGAGGGGGGCGAAACTAATTTTTCTTCAACACAAACATAAAAATAATTTACAGTTCATTACAAGGGCATACCCAAGGGGGGGGGTCCAAACCTCCCCATTGAAATTTCTTCATACTCGATGGTTTAATAGTAAATAGTATATAGTGTATTTTAATTTCCCATTATCTTCAATATACAAAGTTTGTAGATTATATAATATAGGTACCTGCCTATAATGTATAAACCATGTTTAATTTATACGGCTTTTTTAATATTATTTATTTTTATTAATTAAATAATGTATTTTTTATAACATTTTACTACCAAATAAACAATGATTTCAAATTATAGCTAATTTACTTATAGTTCTAACCTACCTATTAAATATAGTAAACCTTTGCGCATAATATATGTGATGTGTGTATTATGACTATTACTATAGTTATTAACAGTAGTGTGTTGGTATTGAATTAAATCATAATTATAATTAGAGAAAAGATAAAATAAAATTGTTGGACCCTCCCCTAAAAAATTCCTGGATACACTCCTGGTTCATTACCTATAGCTCATGTTCCTGTTACTACTTCGAGTGAATAAATAAAAATACAAGTACCAAATTGAATTAATTATTTATTTAATAAATATATTTAAAACCTACTGCATATAAAATAATTATTAATAATAACAACACAAATAGTTCTTATATTAAAATTGTACTATCAGTCTGAATCTTGTATAAAAAAACAACAAATAATCTTAGTAGTAATACTACTTATTAATTATTTTTTAAAAACTTTAAAAACAATTAAGATAGATAACTTAATTTAACAAATGAATGAAACAAAAAAAATCGATTTTGGTGGACCGAGTTCTCAAAACGTTTCGAATAATATGTTCGACGTTCGATCACCAACGGATGATCGACGATAAGCGAATAATGTAAGTTTAAAAAAACAAAAGGAGCACTCAGCGGTTTATTTTCCAATCACATTTTACATAGATTTTTTGGTTTTCAGTTCAACACCACCACGTTGGTCACCACTGGCACGGGAACGATAACGGTTTATCCGTCTTGCGGACGTCGACAAACGTTACGTAATGGTTGTGATTGCGGCGACATGCGCGTACGTGGATTACCGGTGTCGGGGAAACACGCGGACCGACGGGAATAGAACGGACCGGTGGCGGCGAACGTGTGACGGGCGGGACGCGAACTGTTCCGCGGAGCGCACCGACAATTAGCGGCCGCAGACCGGATCGCGCGATGGCCAAGACGAAGCCCAGGAACGCCGATCCGATCGATACGCCGCCGGGCCGCAGCAGCGCGGCCGTGAACGCCGCCGGGCGGCCGGGTCCGGTGGCGCGCCGCCGTCCCCGTAGCCGATCGAAGAGGGCTGGACTGCAGTTCCCGGTGGTGCGGATCCACGCGGCACTGAAGCGCGGCTGTTTCGTGGACCACGTGCGTTGGAACGGGTCCGTTTACGTGGCCTCGGTGCTGGAGTACCTGTCCGCGGAGATGCTGGAGCTGGCGGGCGACGCGGCTCGCGACAACCAGAGGGTGCGGATTACGCCCAGGCACATATTGCTGGCCGTCCGCAACGACCTAGAGCTGTCGGAACTGCTGCGCGACGTCACGTTCGCCGACGGCGGCGTGATGCCGCACATCGAACAGCATCTGTTGCCCAAGAAGACGCTGTTCCACCGCCAACGCCGCCGCCCCGACAAGCTACCGCCGACCGAGGAGCGTTCGTCTTCGGAAGAAGACACGGACGGTTAACAGCTGGTCTCCGCTGGTTAGATATTTCTAATTTATTTTTTCCAGATATTTCTAATTTATTTTCGTTCATTATTTCTTCTTGTTTGTTATTGCCGTTTTGTATAAAACGAATACTCGCGAAAAGGCTCTTTTCAGAGCCAACACACGTGAACGATGGTCAGGTGGCTTACACCTTCTCTTTATACTTGTGACCTGGATATTATTGTTATCAATAGGACTTCATACTAAAGTATATATCTATAATAGTGCTGGAATATACAGCATTAAATAATGCATTGTGGTTTAATATTAAATCAATAAATACAATATTGAATAAATATATAAGTATAGTTAATATAAAATAATAAAAAGATATTTGAGGACGGAGTGTTAGCTCTGACCGATAATAGTAAAAAGTAACACTCAGAAATGGTGGTTATGTGAATTCACGACCAGATGAGCATCAGTGTTGATAGGTGGACTTATTTTGAAAATGTGGATAAATGGATACTGTATTTATTGGTACCCGTGGTGGTCACTTAAGGATCAAGATATGGTTGTAAGGATTCTAGTGGATGTGGAAGAGTTTGTCAGATGATTATTTGTAAATAGGAAAGCTTGATTCTGCATAATCGAAATAGGTCACACAATCCGTCTTCTATTGTATGATTGTTGAATATACTATGTGAACGACTGTAGTCCGTAGTGAAATTATAATAATAGTATCATTATCTATTTCCCGTATGATAATAACAAAAGCTCAGAACTTTAGGAATTTCCTTACTTGTTTGGAAAGTGTATATTGAAATTCTTGAAATAGAAATTTGATCCGTAATCTGTGTATTAGTCTGCGTACTCTAAATGCATACATTTTTGTTGCGTAATAATTTTGCTTATTTCATCATTTTTTGTAAATTGACATATTTTAGGTATAGGTTTTTTTACAAATTCATAGTTCAACAAAAAATATTAGATATATGATAACCAAAAATCTAAATTTTATATCGTTTGAAAAAATGTATTATTTCATCAATGGTTATTTTAGTATTGCTCCCAATGTACTTATAGTAATATAAATTATGTTATAATCTTTATTATTGTACTGAGAAATGGAAATAGTGATCGCCGATCGTCGCGAATTTAATTTTATCAAAATTTATCAAGACATTTTTATTATACCATTATGTAAAATGTTAATTATCAGTATTTGTACATTTATTCTCGATAAAATTAAAGGTTTGATGAAGATTGTATAGCTTAATCTACAATTAAGCTTAATATAATGATAAATAATGATAATTAATGATAAATACTTGTATAACAGGAAGGCAGAACAATACACAAGTGTGCACCGTTTATTTTTATTTTTTAATTTAATTTAAATTAATTTTCCCATGCACCTAATTTATGTAAATTGTATTTTATTTAATAAATTTTATATTTTTACATATTTTCCAAATTTTTAGTGCATATTATACTGCATACTATGATGTTTTTTAACACATATGTATGCACATATTAGAGCCTTGATGATATCACTCGGGTATCCCCCAACGAATCAAAAACATACGACGCGAGAGCAATAATAGCAATAATAGTTTCGCATTCACTTGGCCACCCGTTATCTCATCCAGAAATCTGTTTGATTTCATACCACATTACGATTATATCGTTATTACTATGCGCCCTTAAGTTTCGCACAGTAACCCTCTCTCGATCACTCGTCCGTACACGCGATTCTTATAATGCAGTGTTCTAGCTGCGCGTTTCGTCCCTGCAGATAAAAATGTGTTTCTTTCGCTTAAATAACATTTTAAATCAGATATTCTCATAAAATTACGTCAATGCCGCGTACGAAAACGAACTATAATATTTTATGTTTCCCGATAACCATAAATATTTAACTGTGAGACTGCGCCCTGTATAATAATATATATAATCGACACAGCTCATACACCGCGAAAGTATTTTCATTCAGAAAATCGTTCAGTTTCCTTAACGCGTGTATTCGACATGACGTGCACGGCAATTGATACGAAAACGAAAGTTGGTCGACCACTCACTGCTCTCTAAAACGACGGAGCTGTTGATCGAGTTGAAGAAGTCGATTGGTCCGGCGAACCACTTACACTGTGTAAATTACGATAACATTTTTTTTGTTCGCGCAGGCCTGTATCGATGTATTGTATTAAAATATTTCGTGTCCTATGTATAACACCATCGCACAGCGGTCTATAATGTAGTTTAAAAGGACAAAATTTTTAATTTCCAAAACATATATTCATTTTTTGTATGATATTTTTAATGATTGTGAATTTATAATTAACACGTTATTTTTAAAACCAATATTATAAAAATCTATAGAATTAATGTGATTTTTAAATATAAATGCGATTATAAAATTTAAAGATAATTATACTGGGTTTGCAAAAATTATCTTGTTCTGAGTTTTTTAAATTTTTATCTTTAATTTTTGGATGTTTAAAATTCAATTCCACGACGAGTTGCTATGAAGTAATGTGGGATAGAGATTTTGATTAATTTTAATTCTTTTGTATCTCGATACGTGATAAAATCGCGTTTTAGACGCGATGTCAGTCTTATTAAAATTTTTACTCTGCGCTTTCGGAGAATTGCGTAATACTTTGTATTTTACAGCATTTTTTTTCAACGAATCACACGTGTTGTTAATTTAACTATAGAGATATTTTCGTTTATAGTTTTTTTTATCCGTTGTTTTTCGTGTAATTTTTTTATTTTTTCATTTTTATTTTTGTCATTATTTTTCAGCACATAAAAATACCAGCTCTAATATTATATTGTATTATCGACTCTGCTATTATTACGGAATGGGTTAGCAATTTTCTTTTGACTTTGCTAACGGACTAACAAATTTCTTTTCAAACCCGTAATTTATCGACTTTATTATTTATTATTGAGTAAACGTGAGTATTCGAACGGTATTTCGCACTGAGGTTTATCCGTTTAAATCACTTCAGCTCTGGTCACTACAGTTCTCGGATGGATGAATGTTAAAACCGTGAAGCGATCCGTTATCCGTTATTTCGAATTGGTTGCAGTGCGTTAACTCATCAAAGGATCGACGGCCGCCAAATTTATCGATCCGAATAACCGCGAACGTGTTATGAGCTTCATGGTAGTGTGCGAAAACCACAATCGTATCCGTAGCTTACGATGGAAACTAACACGATAAGACGTCTACATAAAAAAAAGAACGTTGAATGCAGTTGAGGGGAATAAAAGGATTACGATTTAAATAACACTCTGAATAAGTCGAGTTCAGAATAAAAATAACACTCTTCCGGTAATAATACATCACGATTGAGTATAATATTCAATGAAGTCGTAACAACAATGTTGAACGAGAAGAAAAAGAAACTTGAAATGAATAATAACATTGATTTTAGAATATTTTACTATAGTATATAATATACTAAAATCTAAAATCAATGGTAATAATATAATATGAAAGTCGACTGGTGTCGTTTAGGAGCTGTGTGCGTTAATTGTGCGCCTTCATATGTGCACGGGCGTTTATTTAATTTCTATTTATCATCGTTTTTTGTTCACCTTGAACCTTTTTGAATCAGATAGACGTTGTACATTTGTTGATTTATTTTGGTCCTCTAAATTAGATACGGTAAGTTAGCGAAAAAAAGTCAACATAACTGGCATCACTAATGGCAGCAATATATGTTGGTACTGCATCGATCCATTAGCGATTCATTTTCTTCTAGAACTTCAACACACAGTCTTAATCTCTCTAAATCTCCATTACTAAATGGGAAAAAGAATAATTGGTCGAATTTAAAAATCGTCGCACTCGATTTTCGCACGGGACTCGAGGTAAAAGTGTAAAATCGCGACGAATTCGAGTCTGCATCGCATAATTGGATCGATCGGTAGGTTGGTTACGATCAACCCATCCATACGAATACGTCTAAATTACTATATTGTGCGCGCGTGCAACATGATGAACGGGAGTGAAGACGGCGGAAAATCACCGCTCTCGATTCCCTTAACACCGCGTATGCACGTAGCATATTTTGTGAAATAACCAAGGAAGAACGAGACGATGCGAAACGATGGAATTCTTTTTTTGTTCGATTTAAATTACAGAGAACTCTGAGTGCATCTGGAGATATATATGGAGATACATCATTCGGAGGGTACATCGATGATGACCTGCATGTATGTGCAACATCAGTCTAAAGCGTTACTTACTACCCCGAACAACTATATTAAACCATTTTCGCCTTTCCCTTTCGCGGTATTACTAAATAATTTACATAAAATAAAACTTATAGGGTGCTTATAGGTACAACAATTTTGGAAAAATATCATGAAATATAATACTGACCGAGACCACGTTGTTATTTTCATCAAAAAATTTCGAAAATCGATATTTTAGGCAGCTGCCTATTTCATGTTGAGTAGTGTGTGTGTGTGTGTGTGTGTGCGTGCTCTTAAAATCGGTATTTAAGGACGAAGGACGTGCTTCAAGTTCAGAATGGAATGTTAAATGTTGTCTTCACGATTGTTGCAAATAAACATCTCGCCAAAGTTCAATAGTGATAAGAATATAATTTAATTTATAGCCTTTCGTTACAAACGTCATTTACGCTCATAAATATAAGAACAGAAAAGTAGGTAGAGAAAAATAGAAGCGTACTATTTCTGTTCGAAGGAGTCTGACCGACGGTGATTCTCTTGTGCCGGCAGTCACGTCTGAATCGATTACCACGTACATAGGTAATTCGAATACTTCAACGTCAGAAAACCACAAAACACTGTTTGCATACAGTAGATCTCAAAAGTCCCGATTACCTTTCATATTTGGTGTCTTCAGGCGGCAAATCAATATATTTAATAACTGAGGTTTTTTTTTCCAGTAAGTAATCCGTAAGAAAATGTTTATAGAATGACATGAGTTTGAATATTTTGAATTAGCATGTAATTACATTTTTTTACATTTTCACTATTTCTACTTCTTTGATAAT